TTGAATAATTTCTTTTATAGACATACAATCTTATTGAAACTTTCAGAGCGTAATCATATGGTTAAAATGTGTACACATTCCAAAGCACAAGCCTCTAGTACTTGAAACGCGTTTTTTGCAAATTGAAGGCGAAGGGGGCGTGGTATATAAACTCTGTAGATTGCAAAATCTTTGTATCCATTAACTTTATATACAACGCAAATTTGAAGTCTCCAGGTCTGAAAGTGTTCAAATTAGGCTGAAAAAACAATGTCAATTTTTCGATTATTCTCGATAAAAAAGTTATCGGATGAGTTATCGAAAAAATATGATAAACTTGTACTGCCTATGGTATACACGAGTATGCATGCCAAATTTCAGCTCTCTAGCTCTTATATCTTCTGAGATCCTGTTGCTCATACGGACGGACGGACGGACGGACGGACAGGGCTATATCGACTCAGCTCGTCGTCCTGATTAAGAATATATATACTTTATGGGGTCTGCGATGATTCCTTCTGCCTGTTATATTTCACAAAACCATTATACCCTGATTTCCCATTTTCAATGGGTTCAGGGTATTATAAAATAATTGATCTCAAACTCAAGTTAGACCCATAAAGAGTCCACTTAAAATATAAATTTAAAATATTCCATCTCCTCACATAGAGACAAGTACTATATACTACCCTCTATCAGAGATGTACGCACAGGGTGTGCGCAGCGACAGGCAGCCGACGACGACGACGAGAAACAAAGGCAAAGGCCAGGCAACTGGCCATGACTGACACCCTGGCAAGAGGTAGCCAATGATCCTGATGCCCGTGCTGATGATGATGCGGCCAGCAGAGAATCGGACAGACTGACGCCTGGCCGTGCGTCGCTCTGTCTAGCGGTCCATCTGTCGGCATGTCGAAGCGTGGCAGGAGAAATCACATGCAATACAAATTAAGCAAATGTTTGATGAAATTTGACTACTACTGGGAATGGGAATCGGAGTCAGAGATGGAGGCCTGTATCTGCACCTGCGGCAACTGACAACTGGCAACAGGCAGCGGACAACCACAGCAACCAGATAAACTCTTGGCCATACAGATGCAGATATGTTTGCGGCATCTGCAGCGACCAGCATGAATTTTGCTGTCGTTTGGCCAAACCAGATGCAATTGAAGGCCGGTTAGAGAGGGGCGGAAAGAAAGGCAGAGGAGAGAAGGAGGGAGAGCGAGGGAGCTATGCAAATACAAATGCAGTTATGTGCATATCCCATATGAATGGTTCAGCCAGTCGAGCTGCCCTTTTGTTGTTCATTTTTAACGTGTGCAGCAGAGGTCGATACGGCACAGGTCAAATCCGTTTCAACTGCTCCCCACACTCACTGGGCTGACACCCCTTCCACAATTTGGCAAGTGCAATGCATGGCAATGTATAGTGAGTTATAACTGCTACAACAAAGAATCGCTTAAACCTTTAAGGAACGAATACAATCGACAATTGCCAGGTTGAAACTCTTAATGCCATGCAATAGACTTCTAGATATTTCAGTTGCTGCTATTATAATTTTAAATCTATTTTTATTATCAGCTTTCATCAATGAGTGTGTCCAATAAATAATTTTACACCTTTTTTGTTATTTAAATTGATTTGCTGTTTAAAATCTTTTTGAATTTCAAATCGATCCGCAAAACTTAACTCATGGTTACTTGACAAAAAGATAGTTGCTACAGCACGGTTGGTGTACACGCTAAAAAATACCAGTCTTAACGAAAAACATGCTTAACGTTAATTAGTCAGTTCACAAACGACATTTTAACGAACCGCGCACTGATACACAGTACTTACTCTATGCTTAACGAAGGCTACGAATTTATCAAAGTTCCACACCACCAAAAAGTGTTGCCTGCACTGTGCATAGCGAAAATCCGCATATCTTTCCTAAATTAGTAATTAATATTTGAATGCTTTAATTCACTTAGTACAAGGCCGTGTTTAAAATATTTCATTACAATCCCTTAGATGTGTACAATTGAATAAACGAAAAAACACTGGCGTTATTACAAGTCACCAGTTAAACGAAATGACTCATGATTTAGCAGAGTAACTCACCCGCATATGCAAGACACAAACCGTCGTAGCTCGCATATCGCCTGCCGCCACAGCTTATCGAGCCAAACGATAACAAAATATGTTAGTACAMATTCAAATACACTTTTGAATRTAAATAAAAMTTAATTTTGTATAACTWTGCGAAATTTCAAATTTCACTTTAAATAACAAGACTGGCAATCACTATTTAATGATTAATCTCATTTAACTTTTTATTTAATAACCTTTACTAATTATATGCATAACTTAGTCAATATTTTGTTATTCTGTATTTCATTTCTTCTTGTGTTTGTAATCATAATTAAAATATTTGTTGAGCTTATAATTTATTAAAAACTATGCGCGGATAAATGAGTCACTTGCCAATGCGAGCATCGTCGCTTGGTTCATATACAAATTCAATTACAAAAAAACTGAATAAATTGCAGGGCATTCCCCGTTACATTAAGTTTACCGTTAAGTTTGCACTACACTTACACAGCGAACTCTATAAATATATGTATATATGTATGTGTGTGTGTGTATATATGTGATACAACTACTCGTATATGCATTAATGAATCTCGATTTGGATATACGATTTATACAGTTACAAATTGCCTAGGGGATTACGCTTAGACTATATAACTAAATAATTGCCGCTGGTTCATAGAATAACATTAAAAATTTTGGTACAGTCATCGTCGTCATAAATAT